TCTCTCTCTCTCTCTCTCTCTCTCTCTCTCTCTCTCTCTTTATCTCTCTCTCTCTGTCTTTGTGTGTGTGTGTGTGTGTGTGTATTTTTTTTCTCAATACAAATAAGTCTGGGCCATTCATTTTTTAAAATGGACTAATAGTGCTCCATTGCTTGGAAGAACTATATTTTCATTTCTAGCTAATTAAATGGTGAACTTTTACATTTTCCCCTAACTTTGTGCTGTGAAAACCTTCGTGGTTATGAACATTATACATCTTGGTGTTCTTTGTTAGGCATATCAGTAGGGTAAGTTCATTTTGGCAAAAACGATCTCCAGAGCAGGTAAACCAACTCATATGTTTTACCAATAGTGTATGAGTGCGCTGAAGATATTTTAATCCCCAAGGTAAAATCTTAACTTCTTCATTTTATAGTTTGAACTTCTTCTAAAAATAGATATTGTTCCAAGTGAGTAACTATATAGGTTTAGTTTTATTTTCCCCATTTCCAGTTTAGTGTGATCATTACTGGTAGATTGTTGCAGTTTTCCTGGAGGGTATTTTTAGAGATATCAGTTCCTAAGGATACATAGATAGGAATTACACGACAAATGAAAGACTTCCAGTCACATTTAAACCTTTTTTTTAACAGATGTAAACCATTTTACAAAGAAAAAGAAAATAAGAGTAAGAAAAAAAGGAAATGAGAAATTTTTCTATGTAGTTGTTTCCCTGGGAGGTATACAAGGAATCAGGCTCCAGGCTTTAGTTCCACCTTTTTCACTTATACTATGGAATCTTCATCAAGTCACTTTATCTCCCTGGGTTTGCTGATACATAAAATGAGGTAGATGGGGACGGTATTATTGCCAAGTTTATGGTTATGATCATGAAACTATGCATTTGAAAAAAAATGTAGTTCTATGTAAATGTAAACTACTTTTGTTGTTTTAAGTAGGTCAATAAAAAATGCCCTCATTCCATACTGAAACATCCTGTATTATAATATTAAACTCATATTTTGAAAGATATTAATTTTATTTGTAGGTTGGGCAGAAGTAATGTTTACAGTATAAACTGTTTTCAAATGCTAGTTTTCCAGAAGTTCCTCTTTTTGTTTGTTTAATCAGTTATAGTTTATTTTGTTTTAAATTAAATTTATTTGGGTGATATTGGTTAATGATCATCTTTTATTTAATTGGATATAAATACTTTCAAGAAACTAATGTTATTCCAACCCTTCTCAAACCAATAAATGGAATTTTATTTTTAATATAGAAGAATAAAATGTGTATGTATAGGCAAACTATTCCTACTTTCCCTCCCTCTATCCAATCTAGGTATACCATCAGTCAACTCATGGTTTTTGAAACATTTCAGTATTTCTTTTTTTTTTTTTTTTAATATATTTTATTGATTTTGTACAGAGAGGAAGGGAGAGAGAGAGAGAGAGAGAGTTAGAAACATTGATGAGAGAGAGTCATTGATCAGCTGCCTCTTGCATACCCCCTACTGGGGATATGCCCACAACCAAGGTACATGCTCTTGACCAGAATCAAACCCGGGACCTTTCAGGCCCCAAGCCAACACTCTATCCATTGAGCCAAACAGGTTTCGGCACATTTCAGTATTTCTAACATAATATGATCATTAATGCTATCTTTCAACACTGGATGTTCTATTATATGCCAGCTATATTTACAAATGCTATCAGTCCTTGAAATATTTGGTATTTTATTTTACTTTATTTTATTTTATTTTTTGTTAATCTCACCTAAGGATAATTTTCTATTGATCTTTAGAAAGAGTAGAGGGGGAGAGATAGAAACGTTGATGTGAGAGAGACACATTGATTGGTTGCCTCCTGCAAGAGGATAGAGCCTGCAACTAAGGTATATGCTCTTGACCAGAATCAAACCTGTGACCCTTCAGTGGGCCGACACATGTCCACTGAGCCAAACCAACTAGGGCGAATAACTTATTTTTAATCAGAAAGCCTTTTTTTATCAGACTGTTAAATGGAATAATTATTGGAGAGTTCAAAAATGACTGAATGCTCAAAAGACCATTTCTTTTAAGCTCCCAATTTGAAAGAAATATTGGTTTTTCTTCTTTATGCCATGCAAACTTGTTTCAAAAGTTTACTGAAAAGGAAAAAACTGCATTCATTGTAAGGCTGTTATGTGGATAGTGAACCTGAGACCAGATGAAGTTAGTTATGAACATTGTAGTCTTGGACAGAGGATGTGCTTAAACTTGGAAAATAAAATATAATTACATGAAATAAACAGATTATTTATTTATTTTTTAAAATATATTTTATTGATTTTGTACAGAGAGGAAAGAAAGAGATAAAGAGCTAGAAACATCGATGAGAAAGTCATCGATCAGCTGCCTCTTGCACACCCCCTACTGGGGATCTGCCCGCAACTAAGGTACATGCCCTTGACCTGAATCGAACCCGGGATCTTTCAGTCCCCAAGCCGATGCTCTATCCATTGAGCCAAACCGGTCCCGGCCAGATTAATTTTTTTAAATATTGATTTGCTGTGCAATAATTTGTGTGGTGGTTAAATTCATTTTCAGCCAGAAATGTGTAGCTCTGCCTGAAAGATGTTAAGCAAACTAGAAACCTTTTGGTTACACTAGAGGCTGGATGCACAAAATTAGTACAAGGGGGCTTGGCCCCCGCAGCTCCCCTTCATCCAAAAGGTCGTCCGAAAGGACATTCGGAGGGACATCTTGTCTAATTAGCATATTATGCTTTTATTATCATGGGTTATTGTGTTGTCTCACTCTACTCTTCAGCTTCCCATTGAAGAACTGAATTAAAAAGTGACACTTGTTCCCGGCTGGTGTGCCTCATTGGTTGAGCATTGACCCATGAACCAGGAAGTCACGGATTGGATTCTAGTCAGGATACATGCCCGGTCTGCAGGCTTGATTGGATCCCCAGTAGCGGGCATGCAGGAGGCAGCTGATTGATGATTCTCTCTCATTGTTGATGTTTCTATCTCTCCCTCTCCCTATCTTGCTGAAATAAATTAAAAAATACTGCTGAGACCGGTTTGGCTCAGTGGATGGAGCCTCAGCCTGCGGACTAAGGGATCCCAGGTTGGATTCCGATCAAGGGCATGTGTTTTGGTTGTAGGCACATCCCTGGTGGGGGGGGGGGTATGCAGGAGGCAGCTGGTCGATGTTTCTCTCTCATCGATGTTTCTGGCGCTCTATCCTTCTCCTTTCCTCTCTGTAAAAAAAAACAATAAAATATATTTTTAAAAAATAAAAAATACTAAATATTCGTTTGTTGTGGCAGAGTAACTTAAAGATGGTGACACTTGAAAATATACATTACTAAATTGTACCAGTCTTTTGTTAGAATAAAACAGTGCTATAAACAAGGACCATTCTCTTTTAAGAATTAAAAGAAGAAAATAGGACCCTTGAAAAAGTGTGCCTTAAGAGAACTCTTAAGTCATCACGTGAAATTTGGAGTGTATACTTACTACAGTAGCATAATGTGGACATTTTTCAAAATGGAGTTTTAACACCTTATAAAAATTTGTCTTGGTTACCTAGCTTTTGAAGTATTGGGGACATTCCTCATTTCTATTTTGTTCTTGCCTCTCTGCACCATTACTTAGGAGAAAGAAGGAAAATACTAGAAGATCCCCTTTCTCTCTCTAGTGCTTTCGCCCTTCCAGTGTCTCTTCTATTGGGCATAAAATAGATAGCTCTGAATGAAGGGACAAAGTTTAGTCATAAAGTTTGTCATTTGAAGCATCTTTTGAGTTTCTTATTGAACTTATAGGAGTTGGTTTGTAAATGACTCTTATAGGAGTTGGTTTGTGAATGACTTCATTATAATTTAATTAAGATAAAGCAGCCATAGATATTAATAAAACAAGTTGCTAACAATTTTATCTTTAAGTTTTCCAGATGTATGTGGTAAAATTTATGAGAGGTGAAATGGTACAGTAGAAGGAGCATTATAATTTGAGCTTTTGTGGTCTATCAGATAACCTGATAATTTCTCCAGCGCATGAAAGGCTGCTTATTTTGTGATAATTTACAAGTATGCTGTTTGTTAGTTAAGTTAACCTCGTATACTGTTTGGTGCTTAAGTAACACTTTAATTTTTCCTTCTGCTTGCTTGCAATATAATTTTTAATTAAAATAATGTTTTAAATTGTTTCCACCTCCATTCTCACATACATTTAAAAATACTTAATTTAGAGAGAGAGGGAGGAGGAGGAACATCGATCTGCTGCCTCCTGTATGCCTCCTTCCAGGGATAGAGCCTACAACCAGTCATGTGCTTTGATGGGGACTCAGCTGGCAACCTTTTGGTGCAATGGATAGCATCCAACCAATTGAGCTATGCTGGTGTAGGCTCACACATGTTAAGCCAGAGATTAGCTTGATAGTAAAACTATGTGCATAGTTTTCCTGTATTGATAGGAGGGAATATTTCAGAAAATTTTAAGATCTAAAACATATATCTTAAATTATGTTATGATACCCATATTTGCCTTTAAAATTTGAATCAATTCCAAATTACTGTCTTTGTTTCTAGATTCAGGAGTGTTTTTCAATTTTCCTATATGTTGAAATAAATGTAATGTCAGGAATAAAACAGGAAGTATTATTTTGTCCTAGACAAGTGGTCAGCAAACTCATTAGTCAACAGAGCCAAATATCAACAGAACAATGATTGAAATTTCTTTTGAGAACCAATTTTTAAAAACTTAAACTTCTTCTGACGCCACTCTTCAAAATAGACTCACCCAGGGTGTGGTATTTTGTGGAAGAGCCACACTCCAGGGGCCAAAGAGCCGCATGTGGCTCTCGAGCCGCAGTTTGCCGACCACAGTCCTAGACAACTCAGACATTAACAATTATGGTAGTTTTTGGTGTGTTGTTAGTTGTAGTTGTTGAATAATTCCTGTAACATTTGTAAGGATTACTACACAAAAATGCTAATTTTTCTTCTTTTCTCCTCCCCCCACCCCACCCTTAGCCATCTGTTGAGTCTTCAAGTCCAGGTAAATATCTTCTATACTTTTTATAATCTCTATTTGACTAATATTTATCCTATTCATTGCATAAAGGCTAGAGGAGTTAGACTATCATCTGACTTGCTTTTCTTCTGAATGCTTCTTTTCTTTGGGGAAAAAGAAATGGATGAAATGTTTGACTGCCCATGAAAGTACAGGTGAGGCTGCTGTGAGTTCAACCTCGTGACTACTTATGGGTTCTCTTTCTCCTTCTCTCTCTCTCTCATGAATTTTCACATATATTTCTTAATAGTTTTTAATTGCTATTTGACTTGAAATATATATTCATATACTTTTAAAAAAGAAATTAACAACTTTTAAAAAAGAAATTACTAACAACTTAGATTAGCCTGTATAGGAAATTCAAAATATTTTGAGAGAAATATTAAAACATTTAGTAAAGGAAGGAGAAGTAAAATAAGAAAAACATTCAACAAATGAATATTTATTGTAAATTAAGGAAGTTTTTAAATATTTGAATAGGAACAGTTTTTATCTTCTGAATACATATCTTTGGATTTTTGTATTATTTAAATACAGTACAGATTCATTTTTTCCTTAGATGTTATCTTTGGCTAAATCTGGCCACAATAAATGTGTTTAAATTTGAATAGTTTATATAAAAATCAGTATTTAGGCTTCTCTTGATCAATTAGAGATTCCAGCACCATTGGGTATAGCATTTCTGTGTGGCAACAATTGGTTGGAACTGAATAGCAGTCAGCAAAGAGTTTGGTACCAACCAGTTTTTCTGACTAGTGTCCAGGGACTTTACCGAGAGAGAGTACGGTCTTCTACAATGAAGTACTTGGATTAAGGGACAGAATAATGTAGCTAAAGAAAAGAGAAAGGGAGCATTGTTAAGGCATTGTAATATTTTATTTGAAAACATCTCATATGTTGAATATTTAGTTATGTATTACTAAAATTTTCAGATTATTGAAGCAATCACTATTCTTTGTGTTCAATTTTAGAAAGTAAATTTGTAAAAATGCTTAACATAATGGTAGTCTTTTTGTTTGTTTGTTTGTTTTGTTTTAATGGATCAGGGTTCTTTTCATGAACACATATCATTGCACTCCATGTAGTATAAGGCATCAAGTAGGGTGGTTGGACTAGAACACCTCCAGATTCATTCAAAAAGACAAGTGTGACAAGTTAACAGTGGTTTTACCATATTTCAACTTCATGGTTTATAAATATGTTCTGGATAGTTAAGATTGGAAGTAGTCTGACCTTAGATAAATACTAGATTATCATATCTTTTATAGGACATAGAATTTTTCCTAATTTCTTTTTCTGGCAAACAGTAATCATTTTCATTGAAAAAAAAATAGGTTCTAGTTGTTTTTTGTTAATGTGATATTACAAATTGAGTTTTATATATTTTTCCTTGAAATTTTGAGATATTCATCAGGTAATACATAGGTATAAAAATAATTTCTCCAAAAATGATATTAATGAATGACTTGTTTCCATGGCATTTGAATCAGTCTAGGTTGCATTGGACGAATAGTAGAGCTTGAAGAATACAAATGTCTTTGATGCCCTTTACTACTTGCTGAATGCTTATGCACACAGATTGACTCATTGAGTGTTTTTGTTTTTAAATTGGTTTTAGACTAAGGAAGATCTTTCAAGATAGATAGTGTTTCTAATATTAGGCTTCTGCCCAAGGGAATATTTATTTTTATAAATAATGCTAATAATGTAAGTTGGAAGAAATTAGAAATAGAGGCTTCATGTAAAAAAATGTTTGGTCCACTGGTGAAAGGCTGTGTCCTTTGTAACATCTGCACTTTGGAATTCATTACAGTAATAACGGTCACATGCCCAGGTTAGGTGGTTTGTCTAAAGATACCATCAGTGTAAACCAATGTGGAGGCATAAGACAAGGTTTAACTGTAAGACTAGTAGCCATTAGAGGTAGTAGCCATTTAGGGAGGGGAGAAAGAAAATAATTTAATAAGTGCATATCCTATATAATAAAAGAATAATATGCAAATTGGTGGAACAACCAGTTGGCAGGGGGTGGGGCTGGTGAGCAGGCAGCACCAGGCTAGCCAAGGTGTGTGCCAGCAGGCAGAGGGAGGGGAAAGCAATGGGGGAGGGGAGGTTGTGGTGATGACCAGCAGCAGCAGAGAGGCAGTGGGGTGTGGCTACTAGCTGGCCTGTGCCATCCCCTGATAGCCCAGTTGCCTTCAGCAGAGGCCACCGGCAGGGCCACTTGCTGCCTCTCCTGATTGGCCCCATCAGTTATCTCCCGCAGAGGGAGGCCAGACTGCAGCTCAGTCAGACATCCTCTGAGGGCTCCTGGACTGCCAGAGGGCACAGGCTGGGCTGAGGGACTGCCCTCTCCCCCCACACCAAGTGCACAAATTTTCGTTTACCAGGCTGGGCCTCTAGTGATATAAGTGGAATTTTATCTTTTGAATGGTTGAAATAATGTAGGATACCTTTTAGTAATTTTGCAGTAGGGTACAAAAAGCGCTGATATTGGCTTAACTCGGAAACATAATTCTTATTTTCACAATGCATCATAATAATTTATTTTTGAGACCTTTTTTTTTTTTTTTTTTTTTTTACTTACGAGACAGCCTAACAATGTGCCTTAGTAATTAACAAAAAGGAATAGGGTGATTATTTGGTCCCAAAGAACAAGGTAAAAAGAAAAGTCATAAAATAAAGAAGTCATATGAAGGCAAGAAAAAATTGGAAGTTTATAAAAAAAGTTATAGTGTATATGTAGGGAAAAGACTTAGAGTAAGAAGAGAGAAAAGATTCACCCAAGCTATTTCTTGTAGGGAGGGGGAAATGACAAAACTTTAAATACAATTGGTCTTGACTATAATGACAAAAAATGAAGGGCTTTAGGTAAATCATATGACATGATTTGGTCTGATTTTTTTTTTTTTAAGTTCGTAAAGGAAGGCAAGCAGTTAGGAATTAAGCATAGTTATTTTGACAATATTTGCATCTAATAGGAATTATATATGACTAGAGGCCTGGTGCATGAAATTTGTGCACTTGGTGTGTGTGTGTGTGTGTGTGTGTGTGTGTGTGTGTGTGTGGCGGGGTGGAGGGGAAATCCTTCAGCTCAGATTGCGAAGGGTGCAAGCCAAGCTGAGGGACCCCACTGGTGCATGATTGGGACTGGAGAGGGATGTGGGAGGTTGGTCAGCCAGGGAAGGACTGTGGGAGGGCTCCAGGGAATATCTGGCCTATCTTGATTGGCTGGACCTCAGCAAGCTAACCTACCAGTTGGAGCATCTGTCCCCTGGTGGTCAGTGCCCATCATAGCAACTGGTTGACTGTCTGCCCCCTGGTGGTGAGTGCACATCATAGCGACCTTTGCATATCATTAGCGTATTATGCTTTCATTGGTTGAATAAATGACTAGGCACAGCATATTAGGCTTTTATTATATAGGATTAGTATAGTATACAAAAGGTTTGTGTGAGCTGGGACCGATTTGGCTCAGTGGATAGAGCATCGGCCTGAGGACTGAAAGGTACCGGGTTCAATTCCGGGCAAGGGCATGTACCTTGGTTGCGGGCACATCCCCAGTGGGGGTGTGTGTGCAGGAGGCAGCTGATCGATGAGTCTCTCTCATCGATGTTTCTAACTCTCTATCCCTCTCTCTTCCTCTCTGTGAAAAATCAATAAAATATATTTTTTTAAAAAAAGGTTTGTGTGAGGGTTTGTTTTTTAAAAAAAATCTTTATGCATATGAGAGAGAAGAAAGAAAAGTATAGTATTATCTGTAGGAATACATAATTGTTAACTAAGTGCCCTAAAAGATTGATTGCTAGGTAAACTGAAAAGTTTTGGGAGCGTTTTCTGTTAAAAACTCAGAAAGAAGGAATAATGATTAAAACAAAAAATTACTAAAACAACTAAATTAATGGTTCTTAAACTGTGCAAGTCCCTCAACCACTACTAAGGTGCTCTAATTATGCCATGTTTTTCTTAACTTTTCCAAAAGAAATTATGATAATATGCTTTTCTGAATGTTTTTATTTTGTAAATCATTCTAAAGCTTTGATAATTTGTTAACTTTTTTTTGTTGTACTGTAGGATGAGAACTGATTTAGCAATTACTTATCTAGTTATTTTATGTTTAATATCAGTATTATGTTCCTCAGAAGGTACCATCACTTCTAAGTATATTGCTTTCTAACCTGGCTTGCTATTCACTCATTATAGTAAACAGAGGCTCTTTTCAAGTATTCTCTGAGGCAGGAAACCTACTGTTTCTGAGGCTGTGATTTACATGAGGCTTGGAGTGCAGTAAAAGCACAGCCTTTGAAAATATAGGCCCAGGATTCAAATTTCATCCTTGCCATCTACTGGCTCTAAGAGTTTAAACAAGCTATTTTAACTCTGAGCCTCAAGTTTTTCTTTCTGTTCTTCGTAGGATTGTTTGCTTAAATGAAATAATGTATATGAAGTGCTTGAGCATAGTATATGGTACATAGTAAGTACTCCAAAAATATTTCTTGTTTTAAAAATTGTGGCAGGTGACAAGAACCTGGAGCCTTCTGTATTTCCTTATCCCTAATAGACTGTATTTAAAACAAATCAGCATCTGTAGCACTTTGTTTTACTTATTGGTTCTTTTACTGAAGGAAAAAGGAGGGGTAGGTGCATCTGTTAATACAACTTTTAACAGTTTAAACTTAAATTGATTATTTAATGTTAAATAACTCATTTGTTCATTAGTAAACAATGCTTTTGCAAACTTATGTCCTTGTTTAACAATAGCCAAATCTGGGGATAGTTTACAGAATATGTATGCCCCAGCATTTGCAATCCAGTATTGCAAGGCATGACCTATTGAGTACAGCAGTATTCTCCAACCAGCAGGCTAAAAATAGATTAGCTTACACATCAGTTACCTACTAGGCTATTTTTAATGCCTTTCATAAGAGTATTGTATGCAATTTTTGTACATTTTGCTTCTATAGTTTATCTTTGAGTTATTTTATATAAAAATCATCCAAGTAAGTTAAGGACAATTATCCATATACTAGAATAAATTTTCATAAAAGTGTTAATAGAATAGTAATATTTGAGTGCAGCTTTGTTTTCATTAGACTATATGTTAAGATGACTATATATTTTACATGAATATATACTCTCAGGTGCCATAGGGGTTCATACTCATTGAGTCTATTAAATATTGATCAAGTGATTAAGAATTGTGATTCTTATTTTGCAGTTGTACCTGTGTATAGAGATGAGAAAGGCAAAAAGTGAAAGCTTAAATCCTTTAGAGAAGGTTTGCGGAGAGATATGAGTAATGGCAAAAATTTCAGAAAAAAACAAATAATACTTTCTGTGTATAGCTTTTCTTTGGTACTGTTATTTGATTTATATCAGCTTCAAATGTCATATACATTGTATTAATATTAATGAGGGATACTTAATTTGATTTACCAAGCTTTTAAAAATATTCTTTACCAGGAGGTTCAGCAACATCAGATGACCATGAATTTGATCCATCAGCTGACATGCTGGTACATGATTTTGATGATGAACGAACATTAGAAGAAGAAGAAATGATGGAAGGAGAAACAAACTTCAGTTCTGAAATAGAGGATCTTGCAAGGGTAAATAACAATAGGAGTTAGAGGATGAAGTGTTTATAACTTTTTTGTGGTGAAAGGAAACACTTGAAATTTTGGTTCTCTGCCTGTGTTTGGGGAGAAAAAGGATGTAGTATAGAGTTGACTGAAAAATTCTATGTGATCATAGGTGGTATGTTTAAAGTTTGAGATGAAAGGCCTTTTTTAAAGAAATCACTCCATTATGTAAAATAAAATTCAAGTAGTTACTTTTGTAAAACATCACAGGTATCAGGTCAAAAATGGACTATGATAGGATCCTAAATCTCTTCTTACACATCTTCTGTCCTCTCCCAATTAATGAACCTTTTATTTTTATCCACCTTCACAGCCAGAATTTGAGTTGTTATCTTCCTTATTTCCCAGACAACAATAAATGATTCTTACGTGATACTTGCTAAATCTTTAAGCATTTCAGTTAGCACCTAGTAGGAACACTTATTTGAATTTAAAAGAGGATTCTGCAGCAGAATTGATTTTGTTTTTTGTAGTTTTTAGCCCAGTGTTGGCTACAAGATTTTCACTTTATACCTTAGATCAAGTAAGTTAACTTTTTACACTACTGTCAAACTCTAAATGTATTCCACAGTGGGTCATTACTATTGCTTACTAATTTATTGCTGCTGACGGTTGCTTACTAAATTGATATTGAGTGACAGAAGTTAAGATAAAAGTTAATACCTATCCAGAATTATAATACCATTATATAGTTTGTTTTTAATATGTTTGGTGTGTTTTTTTAATTGATTCAGAGGCAGAAAGAGAAAGGGAAAGAAGGATAAAAACATCAATGATGAGAAAGAATCATTGATTAGCTGCCTCCTATATGCCTCCTGCTGGGGATCAAACCAAGACATCCTGGTTCATGGGTGGATGCTCAACTACTGTGCCATACCAGTATTTTATATTAACTAAGCATTTTCTTGATAGAATAGGCAATGATTATTTTGTTTACACATGATAGAATCCACCTAAAACTAATTTTAAGAATACATTTTAGATGTATATTACAACTTTTTAGAACTTTGTTTATTTATTTATTTTAGAAGTCCTATGGGTATCAATAGCCAAATGTGGGGATAGTTTACAGAATATGTATGCCCCAGCATTTGCAATCCAGAGATTTAATGTTCCTAGGACCCCTTGATCACTCTTAATCCATGGTTACATCCTCTTGGTTTCTTCTGCAAGGTCTCAAGTTTTTTCTTTACCATAACCACTCATTTAGTTCAGGTTCTAATTATACTACATGTGATTTACAGCAGTGAATTCCAACTTAGCTTAGTCTTTCTGGCAAACTAAATCTCTCCCTGCCTAAGTCCATCTTGAGTATTTGGTTATATTTTCCCTAAGCCCTAACATTGTGTTATTCACTACTCAACATCTACTTTCAAACCAAGTCAGAAGTAGAATATGACAGATTTTTTTAAAAACTAAGTAAGACTAGAGAAAATAGTTTAAAATACCAGCCCTAACTTTCTTTTAGTTATTACAGATACCCTCTGCTCTTATCACGGTAACCTACTTAGCATTTTTGTTTCCATACTTGTAATAGTTTTTCCTGAATTGATTGACTTTTCTCTGCCAGTTCTATTACTGTTTTTCAAATTAAAGTGGTTCTCCAAATGCACTGTGATGAGCTACTTTTGACTCTCCTCATTTCTCTGTCTAGTCAATATTGGAGGTGTTGGTAAATTTTTGTTTTAGAAATAAATTTTTATAAAGTAAGTCACATTTCTCAAATATGTATCTAAGAAGGAAAAAAATCTAACCTAACTATGGATGTCAGACATAAAGATTTCTTTCCATGCAGTTAGTATGACACCTATTTTTTTGACACATAACTGAGGTAGATGTCAGATATCAGTGATAAGCGTTATTAAAGATAATGATCAATCTTTATTACCTTCCACTGGAAAGGCTAATGTACAGGTAATTTTATTTTAGAAATATGAGCTAATTGGTTCTTAATCTGATCTCATACAAGTAGCATCAGTATCACCTGGCACTTATTTTTAAAATGCAGATACCCACGCCCTACCTCAGCTTACCTAGATCAGAAACTATAGGGTGGGACTCAATAGTCTGTTTTAATAAGCTCTCAAGGTGATTCTGTTGTCCTTGAATAAGACAGAACAAATGGTCGAGAGCCCTAGGACATTTATTTGGTAATCTGCCTGTTTTGTGTTATTTCTCAAGGTACCAGTTAACACAGTTGTAAAAAAGTAGAGGATATATATATATATATATATATATATATATATATAGATAGATAGATAATTTTAAAGATGAAATGAACATGAAACATACATTAAAGTGTTTCTGCTGGTTTGGCCCTTACTAGTGACTTCAGGGGCTTTTGTTCATAATAGTGACTTCAGTTGTTAAACCTGCTTCTAATTTGTGGTGCAGGATGAGTTTATGGAAAGTATGAGCTGGGATTAGGAGGTGTAGTTATGTAGTAAAGTCTCTGTCAGTGCATGATGCTTCCTTTTATTTGGTTTTCTGAATATTCATAAATAAGAGTAACAAATATTCCCATCTGGTACTTTAAAGATCTACCGGTAATAAGATTGTAATACTCTCGAATGTAGTACTGCTAATAATAATTTTATTGAGTTTTGATCTAAGATATCATCCCTGTACCATATCATTGCTATTTTCTTTTCATGTATTTGCGCTTAAAAGACTTAGTTTACAGTCCCTTTATTTTCTAATTATGCTATTCCCCCACTTCCACATTATATATGATACTCTTGAGTGTGAGCATCCATATATTACTATTAACTGAGGTTCACATTAACTGAATGATTGCACGAAAGAATAGTTCTAAACAAATGTCCCTTTTTATTATACTTAAAATATTTTGTTGTTAACAATTCTCATTGGTCAATGTCTTAAAAATTCTTAAAAGACTAGAATTTTCTTAGCTTTCAGAACTACTTTCCGTTTCACTTTTTATGATTTTAAAATTCTAGATACATGTCTTAAGTGCATTCTTCAGTATGGAATGAGTGCAGATTTGTGAAGAATAGGAATATAAAATATTACTCAGAAATTAACTTTCTGTTTAGGAAAGCGACATGCCAATTCATGAACTTCTCAGCCTTTATGGTTATGATGGTACTAGTCGACTACCTGAAGAAGATGAGGAGGAGGAAGAAGAGGAAGAAGAAGGTGAAGATGATGAAGATGCTGATAATGATGATAACAGTGGCTGTAGTGGAGAAAATAAAGTAAGCTTATACAGAAATTTTTAAGATTGTAGTCTTTATTATTGGAATTATAATTTGTAATACGTTCATTTTGACTGCTTATTTTGATCTGTATTTCTGATTTTAAAAGTAATACATTTAGATAAAAATTGGAAGTTCTCTTTAATCCACTCCTGAGGGGTAAGTTTCATCTGTGTTATTCAGATTTCTTTTTAATGCCTATTCTAAATAAATTTGTACCAACTTTTAAAAACCACTGTTTTTAAGTAATAAAGAATAGTTGGCAGTTCCGTGTTCATTTTTCTTAATTTGTTTTGAAATAATTTTAGATTTACAGAAGAGGTTCTAATGTTGTACAGAAACTTCCTATGTACTCTTTATCCAGAAATTTCCCATATGTTAATATCTTACATAACCATGGAAGATTTATCAAAAATAAGAAGTCAATACTAGAACTATACTACTTAATTAAAACTACAGGCAATTCAGATTTTTTTTCATCAGTTTTTCCATTAATGTCCTTTTCCCTGGTCCAGGATTTGACCCAGCACACCATGCTACAGTTAGTGTATTTATTTTAAACTTCTAGTTATATTTGAAATACTATGATCTTCTATCTCCAACAGGTTTTTATTGTTGTTACTGTTTTACATCTTAAAGCAATTTAATTTATGATCCCACAGGAAGAGAATATAAAGGATTCATCAGGTCAAGAGGATGAAACTCAGTCTTCCAATGATGATCCATCACAATCTGTTGCTTCTCAAGATGCACAGGAAATAATCCGCCCACGTCGATGTAAATATTTTGATACAAGTAAGTGTTACTGGTTGCTATAGATGGAGTATAATTTTTACTCTCTAATATATGGCCTTAAATATCTAGTGTGGTTTTTTTTTCCCCCCACTGCTCTGTTTGAATTTATTTACTCTTAAATATCACTTAATAGTAAGGAGTTTTGTTCTAGGTTATTAGTTTTGCAATGCTGGGCCCTGTTCATGAACATACTTCAGTGATTAGTTGTATCACTTACTACTTGGTTTTAAGTGTGTTCCTTTTTTTTTTTTTTTTTTTTTTCCCCTTTCTAACCCTTTCTTAAATTACTCTGTTTCATGGTCATCTTTTTTTATTTTTTCCTAATCTCTTCCTCAGTTTTCATTTTCTACTTTCTTTGCTTATTAGACTATTTAAAATAGATTCCTAAGCATTGCTTTCTTTAATTAATGCCTCCTAATTCTGAAGAAGTGGTTGACTTTTGAGGTAGGAATACATTATACTTAGAAAAAAGTCTCCTAATTTTCCTACAATTATGATCTAGTCAGAGATGACCAGTAATATATATCTTGAATATTTGCATACTTCATCTACTGCAGTGTTTTATTCTAAACAATAATCTTTACTCTAGAAGTCAGCTTTCTGATAAAAAGTCAACTATTAGTGTTATTAGTTTAAATTTTTTATCTAAATTTCTATACTTTAAAAAGAAGAAAAACACTTAAACAATGCCTCGTGAAATTTAGGAATGTAATAACTGATTAAACATGGCAACTGCTTTGTATGAATGATTTCTGTAACACATTTAGTTTAGAAGTGAATGTAGAACTGCTAATAATAATTTTATTGAGTTTTGATCTAAGATATGGTCCAATTGAAAATTGTACCAATTTAAGAAGATATTAGTTACTGAAATAATTGTGTTATTTGTTTTGTTGTTAATCCTCACCTGAGGAAGTTTTTTACATTGATTTTAGAAAGAGTGGAAGGGAAGGAGAGAGAAAGAGAGAGAAACATCTATGTGAGAGAGGCACATTGATCAGTTGCCTCCCACATGTGCACTGATTGGGGACCAGGAATCGAACTTGCAACCCAGGTACATGCCCTTGACCATAAATTGGACCTGAGACCCTTTTTGGTGCCAGGGACCAATGTTCTAACCACTGAGAACACCAGCCAGGGCAATAATTGTGTTAATTTTAAGTTTGGGGAAATGTAGTATTAACCTCTTAGTTAAGCAGAGAGCAGATCTACTGACAGTGGGGTGCAAAGTGACTGCCTAAATTGTAATTTGCTATTTCAGTTGTGATGTTTGCATAGAAGCTATATATTACCTTTCTTTCTCCATAGGGATAATAAATTTCTATATGAAATGTTGTCCTATTGAACTTTCTGTGCCATTTTTGAGTTAAGAAGATGCTGAGAATATGTCTTCAGATTTCCCACCCCTTTTTATAAATACATTCTTACTCCAAAATATAAATACATAGCAGTTTGCCTGCTCTGAATAAAACAGTTGGGTAGAATGGAGGGCATCATACATACTCCCTTCATGTGCTTCCACCCAAAGTGATGCCTTAAAATTCTCAGTTTCAGGGAGCACTGTTTGGAAATCACTATTCTGTCCAAATTCTCATTTTGTAAGGAAGAGATTGAGATCATATAATTTATTCTGTCACCAGGCTATTGATAGGAGAATTAAGTTTAGAAATAGGTTATTTTGATTCTAAATTTTGTTTTTGAAGTTTGTATAGAAAATCATTTCATGGGAATACAGTTGTCTAAGATTAGGATTGACCTGAAAGGTGTATGGGCTTTTTTTTGTTTGTTTTGTTTTATTTTTTTAACTGATGGGGTATTATTTGATTTGAAATATCTTGGCCTACCTCTGGAAATAACTTTGGGCATATTTAAATATTTTGATGGTAGATGTAAGTATAAAATATAAATATACACTGTGGACAGGCTAAGCAATCATTTTATAGTAATATTGTCTTACTTATTATAGACAGCGAAATAGAAGAAGAATCTGAAGAAGATGAAGATTATATTCCATCAGAAGACTGGAAAAAGGTAGGTAGAGCCATATTTTCCAAAAACTTAGATAAATTGATATTTAAAAAGCCCAGTGTAATTACTTTTTTACTAACTAAATATATGTTGATAAAGTTGAAGTAAATCCTATCTGTCATTTAAATGTTGGATAGATGTTCAGATTTCCCCTAATATATTCAGATGTTTATCTTATTATAAAATAAAATAATGATATAGAAAGAATTGGCCTTTGAACTGGCATTCAAACCAAGATTAGAAATCCAAATTTCTGAACTGGTGCTGAATTAGACTTTTGTTTCACTATAGAAAGTATCACATTGATAAATATATATAAATCATGAGGCTTTTTAGTATTCAGTAAATTCTATTTAAAAATTTGATCATAAATTTATCTTATATCAATGTTGATATTTACAACAAATATTAATATAATGTGTAAAAAGATGGATTTGGGCTTCTCTAAAACTGCATAATTAAGTTGATTTCTAAATAAGTCTAAAGAGAATATAGTATTGACATAGTTTTAAATTATAGAATTGTATAACATTGTTTAATCATACAATTAAATTGAATTAATGGTAAGCTATTGCAAAGCTGTTGACTTATGAAAGTATGAAAATATGACATTGTTTAGAGCAAATCATTTATACTTTTAAAAAATTATCACCTGATTTTTCTCTTAAAAACTCCATTGAGGTTTTTTTGTAATTGTTTTTCCTACATTTGATTTTAAATTAGTGCATAAATTTCTTTGAATGCAGAATAGACCAGAAAATCATAATTGAGTGGGAGTTTTGCACTTCAGTCATGATTGATTATTTATTTAGTTAATACTTTTGAGCTTTCCCTATGTTTTTGTGAGGTAGGTTGGTTGGTTGGTTGGTTGGTTGGTTGGTTTAAAGTTGTCTAGTATGGGATACCTGGGGGAAATTAAAAAATGAGCTGACCCCCTTCCTGATTAAAAATAAGGAAACATTATATTTAGAATTTCTATTAGGAAGAATTAAGTATTCAAATGAACTTGGACTGGGTTACCCAGGATTTGGGGCTTCAGCCTAAATTAATCTGTTACTGGTTTCCAAAAAGATGTTTAGAAGGGAGAGACCTCTGTTTGGGTTATAGTGATAAGAAGGTTATCCCAGTATGATTTTTTTTTTTTTCAATAAAAAATGTGTAGATTCAGGATCTTCTCAGGCTTGTAAGATAAAAGGGAGTTTTTATAGAAATAGGTGGAGGGAACAGCTTTGAAATGAAATCTCTTCAAGTTACAGCCCCATAACTTAATAATACTGTGTACTTGAAATAAAATTTTTTGAGTTTCACCTCTTCCCATAAAATATAGAAATAACAATTTCTAACATCAGTGAGATGACAGTAACTGGAGAACATAAGTTTTCAAATCCTAGGAGTTCTTTAAACTTGATAGACGAAGATTTTGTACTTTCCCCCCCAAATCTTCATTTTAAAAATGTAGTATATTTATTCTTAACATTTAGCCATCAGACAAGAGAGAGTCTATAATTTTGGACCCTGTGTGTTGTAAAATCTTGTCTGTGATGATCTCTAATGTCTTTCTGAATAGTTTCCCCTAATTTGTGATTTGATGCTATAAAGTCGATTACCAGAGTTCCTAAAGTAAGTTTTAATTATGTTTTGGGAGATTACTTTTACATTTTGTATTTTTTTAATGAAAGTCAGGCACTAACCTATCCATTTGGTTTGGAGTTTCATCCGTGTGGCCTCTACTGAGCTTTATACAAACCCTTTTTGTTACTTTCTTTATCTTAAAGCTCTGGTTCTCAAACTTAAGATGTGTCAGAATCACCTGGATACCTTGTTAATATACAAATTGCTGAGTCCCATTTCCAGAGTTTCTGGTTCAGTAGGTCTGGAATAGGACCTGAGCATTTGAATATCAGTTTCCCAGGGACTATAGTTTATTGTGTAGATACTCTGAAAATATATGAATTTGACTTCCAGTTTTTTAGTGTTTGTTATCTTACTAATTGAATAGTAAGAATTTATTTTTTTCTCCGTTTTGAAGTAGTTTGTATATATTGTCTGTATTACATTTCACCCCATTATTATTACTAATATTTTCATCCAATCATATCCAAGCTCCTATTATTAACTCATTCATCCTCACAATACTTCCCTGAGGTAGTTAATTGTTGCATCTGTATTATAGGACACAGGAACCAGGAACAGTTTGCCCAAGAAGATGGTAATACTAGAAACTGATTTAAGTCTGTTACTAAGATCTTATGAATGTATTTTTAATTTTTTTTTTATTGATTTGGGAGGTATCCAATTGTTACTCCACTTATTTGGTGCATTCATTGGTTGATTCCTGTATGTGCCCTGACCAGGATCGAGCCCGCAACCCTGGTGCATTGGGAAGATGCTTCAACCAATTGACATACCAGCCAGAGCCCTTACTAATGTTTTATGTTATTTTTAAAATAGGAGATTATGGTGGGCTCCATGTTTCAAGCAGAGATTCCAGTTGGCGTTTGTAGATACAAAGAAAATGAAAAAGGTGGGTTATTAGTAAAGTTAATAGCTGGATTCATGCTTTTGAAGTGATGAACTGTTGTTTTATTATGGGATAAGAACATGACAGTTTATGATACTCCATTGAAATGTGAAAGAGGGCCTGCATTATTTATATAAGAAGAAATATGTTTTTTGTTTTTGTAGTTCACACAAATCTAGTGGAAAAGGTGAATTCTTATTTTGGTGTTAAGTGACTTAAAACATCCCAACTTTCTTTTTTTCTTGTTCATATATTAAGTACTCTGAATATACCCTTTCATAACCTATATAATTTAGATTTTAAAAGTTATGTCAGTGGGAGCTGTTGACAGGTTTAAATAAAACTTTTGAGTAAATAACTACTGTACAAAGTTTACTTGCTTCTGAAACTTTTAATGATTACTTAATTTATCACTTTCATATTTGTGTACTTAAAATAATTTGTAAAATCAACTTTTACATGATTTTTTTTCATTTTATCTTAAAGTCTTAAGATAAGTCATAAATACTTAAGTTTCTAATAACATAAAATACTTGAGGATTTTTTTTTTTAATCTGCTTTAGATGACTCAATTTAGGTGAATTTATAAAAAATGTTGTGGTTGTATGTGTGTTTTCGATGAGTTCATGTGCAGTGTGACATCACTTGTTGCTAGAAATCTTCATTTCTTTTATTTCAATTTACTCCATATTTCAAACTGACATGTGCAGGTCCTTTTGGAGTTGTAGAAATCTTTTGTTGTTTATTTTCTTTTTAGCATCCCCTCCAGAAATGTACTTTATATTCTGAGGGCGCAGGGGCTTTCAGGGCAACCAGCAGATCAGAGGTAATTAAGGGAACACCACAGGCTGGTAAATTCTAGTGACAGTAAAAATGTTTTACACACCAGTGACTGCTTTCACTCACTTTCAAGGTAATTCTTTATTATATAGGAACTTTAGAGTTTCAATATGGAGGGACCTCGTTATATGTTGAAGTTCTGTGCATATGTTTTCTGAACACATTGTAATTGTATGCAAAAGTAAATGATCCGTTAGCTTTTTTATTGAACTTTTTAAAAAAACATATTTTATTGATTTTTTTACAGAGAGGAAGAGAGGGGGATAGAGAGTTAGAAACTTCGATGAGAGAATCATCTATCAGCTGTCTCTTGCACACTCCCTACTGGGGATGTGCCCGCAACCAAGGTACATGCCCTTGGCCAGAATCGAATGTGAAACCCTTCAGTCCACAGACTGACGCTCTATCCACTGGCCAAACTGGTTTTGGCATTTTTTATTGAACTTTTCTAATTGAATTTGCAGTGCTATGCTTTACCTATCCTGTATAAGAAAAGAGCTAATATGCTAAGTGTCCAACCATATGTTTGACCAGTTGCTATGACATGCACTGACCACCAGGGGGCAGATGCTACGACTGGTAGATTAGCTTTCTGCTGGGGTCTTGCTGATGAGGACTGGGCCGGACATGCCCTGGAGCCCTTCACAGTTTCTCCCTGGCCCCAATCATGCACTTGTGGGGTCCCTCTGTCTGAACTGCGCCCTCTCACAATCTTGGACCCCTCGGGTGATGTCAGAGAGCTGGTTTCAGCACGATCTCCCCCGGCCAAGCCGAGGGATCCTACTGGTGCACATATCTGTGCATCGCGCCTCTAGTGTTATATGTTTAGTATGTGTTCACCATTGATTTCTTTCTCTTCAAATAAAGAATTAAAATTAGACATTTGTTCCATTTTATTAAATTTCTTTATTAAAGAAACTATTACAAATTAATTTAAATTTGACTATGAAAGATACAGTGCTTATCTTTGAAAATTTTGTATTTTGCTTTGTGAAGGAAAACTGCTCAGTTTTATATTTGGCAAGTTAATATTATGGCTGAAGGTAGTTTAATTATCTATTAATGTGTTCTTTTTTATTATAACATGTTTTATTGTCATAGACCACAGTAAATAAGTGATCATAATCTCTAATTTTCAGTGTTTAAGTTTTGGTTTAATATTTTTAGCTTTAATAATTTTAAAAAGGAATTATATTTTTTCCCCCAGGCAAAACAATGATTCATGAAGCTTTCTTACTTTGAGAAAGCCTATTAGATTGTGTAAGGATCAGACTAGATTTAGCAAGGTGATACTGCCTTGGAGGGGGTTACTATGGTACAAGGCCTATCCTTAAATTTGTCATTACAGGAATTCAAACTTTTGTTGTAATATCTAGAATTTGTTTCCACTTATAAGGTACCTTATGCATACAAACTAAACAGATGTGAAAGTTATGAAAAACCCAAAGTTGTCAAGGTGTTTGTGCTGGTTGATGCAATCTTTTCTTATAGTTAAACAAGTATAGGATATATTTAATGGTTTAGTGAGCACATATTCAAAAGGGAAAACATTTGGTCTGAGTAATTGTGATAAAAGTTCCATAAAACTAAGATAACCTGATCTCTTTACTGTGGGAATAATTTTTCATTGACATAAACCCTATTTTGAGTTTTGCAGAGATATTGATGACACTTTTCTATGACATCTGATTTCTTTTTAGTAGGCTCTCTGCACATTATATATTCCTTGTCAGTTATCACTCCTAATTCAAACAATTATATAAATACTAGAGGCCCTAGTGCATGAATTCATGCACCAGTGGGGTCCCTTGGCCTGGCCTGTGGGATCAGGCTGAAAGTGGCTTTCCGACATTCCCCAAGGGGTCTGGATTGTGAGAGGATGTAGGCCAGGTCAAGGGACCCTCACCAGTGCACAGTTGGAGCCGGAGAGAGACGCGGGAGGTTGGCCAGCTGAAGAGAATCTGCAGGAGAGCTCCATGGCATGTCTGGCAGATCTTGCTCAGTCCCAATTGGCAGCAGTGAGCTAGCCTACAAGTCAGAGCATCTGCCCTCTGGCGGTCAGTGCATGTCATAACGAATGGTTGAGTGGTCTTAGCATATCATTAGCATATTATACTTTGATTGGGTGAACAGATGACCAGACACTTAGCATATTAGGCTTTTTATATAGGAAGATTAGTAGTTACAATCACATTCAAAGATATTCCTTTGAACAGGTATCCATTTTGGTTATAAAATTTCAACTACACATTAGCATTTTCTTAAATTCATGAAAATTACCATTTATTCTCACCACAATCTTCCTATATAATAAAAGGCTAATATGCAAATTGTCCCCTCAACCGGGGGTTTAACCAGGGGGTGGGGCCAGCTGGACCCCATCCATGCATGAATTTGTGTTCCAGGCCTCTAGTATATAATAAAACTCTAGTATATAATAAAACTCAAATTGATTGAACGGTGGAACGACCTACCACTATGATACACACTGACCACCAGGGGGCAGATGCTCAACACAGGAGTTGCTACTCTGGCTTGCACATTTTGTGGTCAGCCCTCATTCTGACACTTATAACAGTGTGACAAAGCCTCTTCTCTCTGCTTCAGTTTTTCCACCCACAAGATGGGGAAAATGGTACTACTGCCTCTGAAGGATCATGTTATGTACTACTATTTATAATCAGGGCAAAAAAATATATCTGCCCATACAACAGCAAGATGCCTTTCACCTGTATGAAAAGTATGGTCACTGATGCATGCAGCGTCCTGGATTGTGAGAGCGATGTCCCTGATTGCAAGAGAGCGCAGGCCAGGCTGAGGGATTCCCCATAACCCCCAACCCTGCCCCCTCCATGCACAAATTTCATGTACCGAGCCTCTAGTATATTATAACAATTTATTCATCTTTGTATCCTTAATATGGATACAAGACACTTAGCTAAACATTTGGTAGCTGGTTTTAGGTATGTGCAGTATGGCATTAGCACAACTGATATGGAGTCAGTAAACTTGGGTCAGTATCTAGGCATTTGACTTTGGACATGCTACTTAATTTTTTTCTCATCAGCTATAAAATAGCAATAATAGATCATTTATTTACAGAGACTCCCGTGAGGATTTATATGTGACATTTTTATGTGTAGCACTTAGCAGCATGGTGTCTGGTACATAATAAGTGCATTAATATTCAATAGGTGATTAATCTTATCCATTATGTTGTTTTATTCAGATTTTCAGAAAGCATCACTTTATATTCTTGTTTGCAAGTGATAAAAATCCAGATCAGTTTAGCATCAGCTAAAAAAAAATGTACCTCATGACTTTTTTGGAAAGTTTTTTTTTTCAAATATAACTAAATTGGGGAGTTCTTACCATATCAGGTGTTCCTTCCCTCTTCCTCTTTTATTTTCAGACAAGCTAAGATGGTTACTGGGAGCATCTGGCTTATACCTTATACTCCTTATAGCTAGAAGACAGCAAAAATGAGAATTTCCCCATACCCTTTTGCTCCAGCAAAAGTCTAGAGAGCCTCTGTTGACTCAGCTTGAATCATATACCCAGCCAGAAGTAATTACTGTGGCCAGAGAGATGAGTGAGTTATTTAGCTTGCCCTAACTTCTTTATCTGTTCTTGGAGCTCCCAGGGGTGGTATCAGCCCCACTCAGCATATAGAAAGAAGATGAAGACATGATTTTCAAGATTATGTGTTTTATTGTCACCCTCATGTACTAAACCTAGTATAGACACTGCAACTTTGTGATAAGGCTAGGTAATTTGAATGCTGGTACTGGTAAACATCCTACAATGCACAGGTTCGAACCTCTCCTTGCTCCCACCACTAAGAATTATCAGGCCAGTGTCAGTAGTGCCAAGGTTTAGAACACGATTAATTTAAATATTTTTTATTGATTTTTTTACAGAGAGGAAGAGAGAGAGAGAGCTAGAAACGTCGATGAGAGAGAAACATCGACCAACTGCATCTTGCACACCCCCTACCGGGTTTGCACCCACAACCAATGTTACATGCCCTTGACTGGAATCGAACTTGGGACCTTTCAGTCCACAGACCGACGCTCTACCACTGAGCCAAACCGGTTTCGGCTAGAACACGACTAATTTAATTGGGAATTTAGATGGGCTACTTAGGAAAAGGGAAGGTCATATTTCAGATCATTCCCATTCAAATTTTCGTGTTTGCATGACATAAGTTTTAAAGTAAATGATTGTTAGAAATTATGAAGCAGTGAATAGCAAAGGAGCAGGCAAATTGTTTCTAATGAGCATTTGACAAATTCTTTAGTTACTGAAAACTGAACACATATACTACTCTTAGTTGATAACAGACATTTTTTTGAAGAAACCTATCCAAAAGTAGAGTGTTACTATGAAACCTTTTGTATACCAAAATGGCACAAAGCCAAGAAGCAGTTACAGTAGTGTGCTCCCCTTATTCGAGGGCAATACACCCCACAGGAAATCCAGTTTTACCAAGCCCTATATGTACTTTGTTTTCGCTTATACGTATACTATATACCTCTGATAAAGTTTAAATTAGGTACAGTAGGAGATTAACAGCAATAATAATAAAATAGGACAATAGCTACTGTAATAAAAATTATGAATATGGCCTCAAAATATCTTACTATATTGTACTTCTTGTGATGATGTGAGAGGAAACAGTACATATGTGATGAAATGAAGTAGGTAAATTATGCAGAGCTCTTCAAACAATGGCTGATAGTGGATAACTTAAAACTGCCGGAGCAAAAATGCTTATAAGGGGGGGATTAATTTATATGGAAAAAATTTTGAGTGTTCCCATACTCCAAAAATAACCTACCAAATAACACACAGAACCTAAGATAATATTAACATATAGTAAAAGCAGGAATGATATAGCTCTCTGTTACCTTAAGGACATATCTTGCCAAATGGATGCACAAAATAGAAGTAAATCACAGATATAGACAGTAATAAACCATGGCAGCTTGATGCTTAAATGATGGATGTAATACCCAAGGCAGAAATTTGGTCGCGCCACTAAGGACACTACAAAAAGCTATAAAGGCTCCCTACAAAACAAAGTTGAATGCCATTTCCACTTTTTTTTTTTTTTTTTTTGCCTTTTTTCATACAAGTGAAAATTGTCTCCAGATTTTTTTTGATTAGCAAAAAGTTACTAATGTAGATCTTTCATAAAAGTGAAGTTATGTAACTGGAAAAACTCAGCTAGATGACTTAAAATTCATGTCATTGATCATAGTATGATCTTTCAAGATTGTATCCTTGGCTTCTGGCACTTCCAGAATGATTCCAGAAGTATCTCCCAATTTGTGCTGGTTTCATAGGCTTTATGTGGGGGTATCTAACTGGGAGAACACTGGGACTAAGGGGACACCCCCCCCCCCCTTCTTCCTAAGTCAGGTTTCCTTATAAGGCCTTGTCCACCCCATACCCATCGCTCCAAGAATATAACTAGTCTATAACCTTCACCGAAAATGGACTGAGCAGGGAACAGAAATCAGTAGCAGTATATTCAAAGTCATGTCATGGGTGTTTCATTGTATTTACAACTTAGAGTTTCACTAGGATTCTACAGCAGTCTTAACAAGGCCTGAGATTTACAAAGGAAAAATCTCTAGAGACTATCCTTTGAGCTGTATTTTAAATAATATAAATGTTGGGGAACAGAAAGAAAGGATATTTAAACTGTGGTGGGTGGAGCAGGTAATGTTCATGAAAACACTTGGTACATAGGAGATGTTTAGCTTTAATTTCTTTTTCATAGCAAAAGGAACTTTGACACTGTCAGTTATCCTTTATCTCTTAGAGTCAAAATCTTTCTCCAAGTGGTACTTTCATTGACATTTAAATGATAATGTCTCAACTCTCTCTAAAAAAACAAACAAAACCAAAGACTTCCTTTCACTATACCTCCTCTTCAGCTACTGCCCTATTCTTCCTCACAACCAAACTTTACAAGAGTTTTCCATTTTACTTATTCACCATTCATTTATTCCTTAGTTCTTTCAAGTATGACTTCAGTTTCTATCTCTGCACATAATGTTCTTGAAACATCTCCCTTCCTCTTTATTAATAAATCCAGCATACTTTTTTTCAGTGTTCAGTCTGGTCTCTTAGCATTTAATCAGTTTATCACTCCTTAAAACATTTTCTTCCCCTAGTGGCTGTGATACCACGGTTTTGATATTTTATCTTGTGACTGTTACTTCTTAATTTTGTCTGTATTTTCGTCTTCCTGTCTTTTAGAATTATGCAAGTCTCGGGTTCTCCTCCTTTCCTTTCACTTTTAAAATTTTGATGAGATTCAGGCTTTATTCTTACTATAATGGAGATTTTAATGATGGAACCTAAATGCTTTTTTAAAAATGACTTATTTTTATCAAAGTTATTTATATTCATATATCAAGCATCATAGAAAAATAATTGCCCCAAATCCTACCAAGAAATAAGCAGTGCTAGCATTTGGGTGAGCAATTTTTTAAATTTTCCTTTTCAAAACTATTGAATATCCATTAAATCTTAAAATGTGCCAGAATTGTTTTAATTGTACCTATGTGGTAGGATTGTGAAGCCCATTTCACAGGTGAAGCAGAAAGGGAAATAATTTGCCTTCAGTCATAATAGGTAGTAAGTAGTGGTGGTGCTATCTAAACCAAGAGAGCTTAGAATTTGATAAATAAATTTAAGTATGACAATTTGAATGAGGATAAAATGATACTTCTCTGGTTAGATGGCTTACTCACCTAGGTTATGAATATTGTCCAAGATTGAAATTAGACAAGTAGTAGGACCACAATTTACCTTATAGTTTTTATCATTTTGGCTCTAAGTATGAGTTGCTTGTTTAATGATATGTTTAACAAACTTTCAAATTTTGACAATTAAAAAAACATTGTTTTATTAAATTAGTATATGAAAATGATGATCAACTCCTGTGGGATCCTGAGTACTTACCTGAAGATAGAGTGATTATATTTCTTAAGGATGCATCTAGAAGAACAGGTGATGAGAAAGGTGTAGAAGCGATTCCTGAAGGATCTCACATAAAAGACAATGAACAGGTATATGAATAAGAAATGTTATAATTTCCTTCAAATAAATTATATTTAAAATATGTATATTTTAAATATGCTGTCACATTCAGTGTTGTTACTCTATCCACCAAAATTCCTGTAATGTTTTGAATGGAATCTGAGGTTATGATCAGCATAAGATACCTAATGTTAACACTTATCATGGGAATGATTTCAGCTCAAACAAAAATCTTGATATTTCAGTTTGGTTGTATCTGTTTTTTATTAGGCTTTAAAAAACATATTTTTAATTGATTTCAAAGAGAGCAAAGGAGAGGGAGAAAGTAATGATAATGAAAGAAAAGTTCTTTTGGATCTCATCAAGTTGGCAATACTGTGCACATCTAGTATAATGTTATTACATACCAGTGGTTACTGCAAACCTAATGACTGCATTAATATTTTTACCTTTAAAAAAAAATGTATATTCCTATTGACTTTAGAGAGAGAGGGCGAGGGAGAGACAGAAAGAAATATAGTCAATGATGAGAGGGAATCATCAGTTGCCTCCTGCATGTCCCCCTTCGGGGATTGAGCCCCAACCCAGGCATGTGCCCTGACAGGGAATTGAACCATGACCTCATGATTAATAGGTCGACACTAAACCACACCCAGCCAGGCTTTTTTTTTTTTTAAACCTTTTTTAATTAGTGTTTTTCTTTTCTGATTTGTTTAAATTAGAATAGGAACCCTAAAGGGCCAAAAAAGAAGGAATTTGTAATCTTTATAAATAAATTTTTTGTTTCTAAATTTTTGTGATACTGTGGAAGCCAATTTAGGTTATTTGTTTATCCTATTTTTGAAATATTTAGAGATAGTTAATTATCAGGATTGGGGTTAAGTTTGTTTCTCTGTAGTATTCCACCCATTGGAATTATTTGTCCTCCAGAAAGGATGAAAACACTGGATTTTGGAAAAGTCTTTACTTCCTTAAGAAATTGTAGCTTATATTGAAACTCTTTATTTTTCTAGGCATTATATGAATTAGTTAAATGCAATTTTGACACAGAAGAAGCATTGAGAAGATTAAGATTTAATGTAAAAGCAGCTAGAGGTAAGCATAAATATTAAAATTGTTTTTATGAAGTAGTAGAAATTTAAAACTTAAGCTCTTAGATCCAGCTATATTCTTCTTTTAATAATACTGATTTTTCTGAATTTAGTAAACATCTGTTGAATAACAAATAACTTGTTAAATAACTTGTATATAGCAGCAAGAGTTTTACAAGGGTGGGCAAAGTAGATTTACAGTTCCTATAGAAAAAGACATGCAGGTTATAATTATGTTATAACAATACAGAAATAATCTTTTGCATACTCAAAACCGTAAGCCTACTTTTTTTTTTTCCTCTTTAATCTTTATTGTTGAGAATATTACATAGGTCCTCCTTTTTCCCCCATTAACCTCTTCCACCCTGCTCCCATCCTCTCCCCACTCTCCTGAAAGCCTACTTTTGCCACCCTATACAAGGCATTATGGGAAATGGTTTTCATGTTGTTCCTTCTTTAGAGAAAATAAAACCATTTAAGTAAAACCACTTACTGCTTTTGAATTTCAGCACATTTTTATAAACACTTTCTTATTTGATCTTGGGCACAGCCCTAAGTTCTAAGTTACGTGACAAATGTTACCTTCACTTCAAAATTGTTAAGACTGAATGGAAATAATTTCGCTGAGGCAATCATTATTCATAAATAGTCATAAGTAAAGTCTGGGTTTGGGTCTTTTTGTATGTGTGTTTTTCTCTCAACTCTTTATATATTATTATATAACAAGTGAAAGATTTGTTCAACAAAAATTGGAAGGTCTAAGTACTAAGGACAAAACTACAAAGTCCTTGTCTTTATGGTGCTTAGAGATGGTAGGAAAACTGGAAATAGTTATACATTTTTAAAGGAGAACTAAAGGGTGCATTTCAAACTTACTGCAGTGGAACTTAATGTAGTTGAGGGAAAGGTTGTGGCTGTTAGGGAAAGCTTCTAGAACAAAGTGATATTTCTGTTGGGATGTAGGAGGCAGGAAATAATTCCAGGCAAAAGGAACAGTGAGTGTGCACAGAGTCTAAAGAAAGAACATAAATTTAAAGAATTGAAAGGTCATAAGGAATAAAGAAGAAAGTAGCTCAAGATGAGATTGGAGACTTTTTATAAATAAGGAGTTATCACTTGGTCATTTGGCAGCCATAAGTAATAAGGCTTAGGGGTAAAATACTTTTCTTTATTGTGACCAGAGTTATATTTTCATTTGCAGTTTTGTTGTATACAACATTTGGGGAACATTCCTTAATAGTTGTTTTTCTCCCATTTTGTCAGAGGAATTGTCTGTTTGGACAGAAGAAGAGTGTAGAAATTTTGAACAAGGGCTGAAGGCCTATGGAAAGGATTTTCATTTAATTCAGGCTAATAAAGTAAGTGACGTATGTTCTCTATTTTATAAAAAGAAATTAATTAACCCAAATTTATCTTATGTCTTTGTTATTTTCTAATGTTAAAAGTTATACAATGAGCCCTAACCAGTTTGGCTCAGTGGATAGAGCATCAGCCTGTGGACTGAAAGGTTCCAGGTTCAATTCCGGTCAAGGGCATGTACCTTGGTTGTGGCCATATCCCCAGTAGGAGTTGTGCAGAAGGCAGCTGATCAATGTTTTTTTTTATCATTGATGTTTCTAACTCAATCCTTCTCCCTTCCTCTCTGTAAAAAAATCAATAAAATATATTGCCGGAAACTGAACATTGTCTCTCTCACTAATAGAAAGATGTGGAAGGCTGGTCAACCTTGAAGCTCTGAAAGGTCAGAGTCAACCACTCCCTATCTAATTGAGACAATGGTAACTGAGGCAATGTCCCCACCAAATAATCATTTAAATCCTTACTGATAAGATAATCTGTCTGTTACATAATTACCTGCCTAAGGGCTATGGGTGTATCCCTTAGTCTCAGTGAATGGGATAGCCAGGCCCAAGCCAGGAGGTAGTCCTACCTTTAGAGTTGGGTTTCTGCCTGGCCCCCATTTCCCAAATTAATATTTTTCAAGTCTTTCATTTGTGTGCGGCCTTCTCCAGAACCCGAACCCTGAACCACGCGGGACATGAGAGGGGCTTCCACAATATATATATATTTTTTAAGTTATACAATGAAATTTTAATATATTGGTATTTAGGGATTATAATAAACACGCCTGGACTTCCTGGCAGATATTTGCCAAGGGACTTTTCAATGTATGATGTTAGAAGCCTTTATATTGAATTCATTTGCAAATATGTTCACCAACTTCTGGGTGAGATGCGTGCATACTATGTAATTATTTAAAGCTATTTTCCACAACCTGTGACAATTTCTGTTAGGAGGGTCTTCAAATAATTTTGAAACTTTAAAGCATTTTTAACATGACATTATTTACATTTTAAGTATTTACATTTGCTTAAGTCCTGAGAGGCCAAAAATCAGATACTTTATTTAATATAGATAATTAGGATAAATATATTTTTATTGATTTCAGAGAGTAAGGGAGAGGGAGAGAGAGAATCATTGATTGGCTGCCTCCTGCATGCCCCCCATAGGATTGAGCCTGCAACCCAAGCATGTACCCTGACCAGGAATTAAACCATAACCTACTGGTTCATAGATCGGCAATTTTATTTAATATGATCATTCCATATTGGTAATATTAATCACACAGTGTCAGTGTATCCCTAAAAGAACTTAACTATTACTTGCAGATTTATTTTTAGGTTTAATTCTCTTGCAGCTGAAATAAAGTAAGATTTTTAATAGTAATTACACAATTATATAGACTGGAAAAATGTGCTGTTCCTATGGGGAATTGGGAAAGGCAAAATTAAATGTAGGGAATTAAGTAATTTCCAGGTTAAAAATATTACACTTTTAGCAAATACAAGTGACAAAGAACTTGGCTTTCCATGTTTCCTTAAAGATTGTAGCTAAGTCTTGTGTGGTGGCTTACCAGGATGATGTTAAAAATATCTGGGCTTAAGTCTTAGGCTCTAAATAGTCTGTTTCCACATTCTCCTTATATTCTTTTGGATGTGATTGGATGGTGTCAGCTTGATTTGTTTTAACACATATTTAGCAGTATTTTATGTTTCATAAATAAAATATTGCTTACAAATCCTATGGGTTCATTTTTCTTAATTTTGCTCTGGGTTATCTTGCATCTTGGTATATGACATCAGACATAACTAATAGAAAAATGTTGAGTTTTAGCATTGTTTTAGAAAATGTATCTATACTCCTTAATATTGTATCCAAATATATGACCTCCAATATAGTGGATAACACTATGAAAGGGATGCATTATGCTAATGAATGGTCATGTATGGTTCTGAATGTAAAAAAAACATATAGTTTCATGTTTGAAGGGACATTTTGGATAACAGTTTTCTAGCATTCCTGCTTGAATTTGAACATTTTTTTATCAAACCATGTTGGATTACCTATGGAAGAGACCCCTAGAATGATAGGCTGATATAACTAGAAGCAACAACATACCCCCAAAAATCCCCCCCCCCTTTTTTTAAGGAATACAAACTTATTAGGTGATTTGAAACCACTATCCAAGAGGGAGAAGTATGGTACAGTGAAAACATTAAGACTGTTTTTACATCTGGATTGAAGTTTGATCTTAGTCATAAGTTCTATTTATGCAGGTTTATTTTGAGGATTTTTCATAATGTTAAGTTCACATGCCCCAAAATATCTTCAATTTTTACTCAAAAAAGTACAATTGACTTGGCTTAGATCTATGGAGAAATAAAATTTTAAAGGAGGCAAAATGAGCTTGGAAAAAAAATTTTTTGAGCCCTAATAGCTTTCAGCCTTCAAGTGACATGGCCAAAGTTGTAAAAGGGAAGAAAGAAAAATCTATGTCAGGTAATGAAATAAGTGAATAATCAAATTTGCCTTAGGGTGCCATCAATCTCACAAGATACCTCCTTCAAGATAGAAATATATGGGTTAAAGTAATATTATCTTGCATTCCAAGTACTCATGCAGATACCTTTTTTTCATTTTCAACCCTTCCAGCTCTCGAAGCCAAGTAGCAAAACGGAATTTTGTCAACATTATTTGTTATCCCATAGGTGAACATATGTGAAGTGAACCCATTCAACTACACAAATAGGGGACAGCACAGTAATCACAGGAGTAACTTAGTAAACAAAGCATTAGCATTATAATAGCTTTTAACTCACTGCAGACTGTTCTCAGGCTTTTTATAAAATAATTAATTTTGGATCATTGTAAAAATATTTGTTTCTTACAGGTTCGAACAAGGTCAGTTGGTGAATGTGTAGCATTCTATTATATGTGGAAAAAATCTGAACGTTATGATTTCTTTGCTCAGCAAACGCGATTTGGAAAAAAGAAATACAATCTTCATCCTGGTGTAACGTGAGTATTTTTTCTTTCATGTAATGTGTTTTTAAGCTTTTCTATTTGCTTTGTTGGGGTGCGAGTTGTGTGTTTCTTTTTAATTTATTAACTTTAGAGAGAGAGAAACATCAATTTGTTGTTTGTTTATGCATCTATTGGTTGGTTCTTATATATGCCCCTGATTGGGGATTGAACCCGAAACCTTGGCATATCGGGACTATGCTCTAAACAACTGAGCTAACTAGCCAGGGTTTTACTAAGCTTTTCTAAATTTTTCTTGAGGAAATTATAATTGTTTAACAATACTTCCGTTTCAATTTATTATTTGACATATCTGTAGGACATTTGGACTTCTCAGTATCTTAGAAAACATTGCAAACTACAGCTCATATTATTTGAGCCAACAGATACATCAAAGCAGCTGAAACCGGTTTGTCTCAGTGGACAGAGCTTCAGCCTACGGACTAAAAGGTCCAAGGTTCAATTCCAGTCAAGGGCATGTACTTTGGTTGTTGGCACATCCTCAGTAGGGGGTGTGCAGGAGGCAGCTGATCGATGTTTCTAGCTCTCTGTTCCTCTCCCTTCCTCTGTAAAAAAAATCAATAAAATATATTAATATATTAATATATATCAAAGCAAATATTAGAGTGTATGTTTTCAGTAGGATTCCTTAGAGTAGTGGATCAGAACAGCTGTGAAAGCATATTTTTGTTTAGTTCTGTTTTATTTAGTATAAGCATTTATAGTTTAATAACTCTGTGAGAGCAGTAAAAATAGAAAAGAGAGACTTATCTTTTCTAAAAAAAATAATACAGGGTCATATGCCTAATAGAGGCACTTTAAAGAGGAAAGGAAATTAATATTTTTTTCTTATCTAATCTATTTTTTAAAATATATTTTATTGATTTTTTACAGAGAGGAAGGGGGAGGGATAGAGAGGTAGAAACATCAATCAGCTGCCTCTTACACACCCCCTACTGGGGATATGCCCGCAACCAAGGTACATGCCCTAGACCGGAATCAAACTTGGGACCCTTCAGTCCGCAGGCCAGTGCTCTATCCACTGAGCCAAACTGGTTGAGGTTTGTATAATCAATTTTAGATCCAGGGAACCAAAACTCATTATGCAAAATGCCTTATATGTCTAATCCAGTCCCCATGCACCAAATTCTCTTAGCTCTCAGTCAGTCTAGTTCTGGAATGAAGCATTGTCCCCATTGCCACTAGTAATTGGTTATTTAAATGCATAGAGCAGCCACATTCAACCATTTTCATCTCATGGCACATATAAACTAGAGGCCCAGTTCACAAATTTGTGCGTGGGTGGAGTCTGGCCCGCCTGCCCTGATAGGGGGCCAATCAGGCCTGCGGGTGGGAGGGACTGAGGGCAGTTGGCCAGCTGGCCCTTGCCTCTGATCAGGGTGGTGGGGCCAGGCCAGTCCAATCCCTAATTGGAGTGTAGGGGACCAATTGGGAGCTAGGGGTAGAGCGGCTGCAGTGCACATCATAGCGACCAGTTGTTCTGGTTGATTGGCTTTTATATATAAGATTGCTGAAATTTTTGCTGATCTGACAAAAAAATTGGGTATAATTTTGATTCATTCGTATCTGTGGCTATTGTTGTGTTGGCTGTGTCACTTTTGAATTTGACTATCTAAGGCAGTGGTTCTCAACCTTTCTAATGCCGCAACTCTTTAATACAGTTCCTCATGTTGTGGTGAACCCCAACCATAAAATTATTTTCGTTGCTACTTCATAACTGTAATTTTGCTACTGTTATGAATCGTAATGTTTTCTGATGGTCTTAAGCGACCCTAAAGGTTGAGAACCCACAGGTTGAGAACCGCTAGCAGGGTCACTTAAGACCATCAGAAAACACAGATATGTACATTACAATTCACAACAGTAGCAAAATTACAGTTATGAAGTAGCCACGAAAAGAATTTTATGCTTGGGGTCACCACAACATGAGGAACTGTATTAAAGGGTCACGGCATTAGGAAGGTTGGGAACCACTGATCTAAGGGAAAAGAGGTCAGTGCCCCTGACTCAATAGTTAGGTCTTACATGTTTTAAAATCTTGCAGCACACTAGTTGAAAATGGCTGACATAGAGTATAGACCCTATCCTCTCACGAGTTGCTCTAAAATGTTATTATAGTGGACTTAACCTGAGTATACTATACCTGATTATTCCCTACTGTGTATGGAATAAGAATAATGTAAAATGTGACTTCATTTGGTCAGTGTTCACTAGTCAAGTTCTTGCACTAGCCAAATAACTGCCTTTGAAAGATGTGTTTGTATACATATTTTGGAGTAATGTTTCCTCATAATTCTCGCTGCTGGTCATTTTGCTGAAGGATCAAACACTCTAAAATCACAAGCAAAATCATCTAAAAGCGAATAAATGGTTATGATTACCCTTGCAAATCATGGGTATATTGGACACTGCCTCATCCCCCATTGCTTAAAGCTCATGATAGCTAGAGTGGAATTTCATAACAGTATTCCAAATTTTGTCTAATTATTTAATATTATACATTTATAAGTTTTTCTGGATTATATAATGAATTGGTATTGTTGGAGCATAATGTAGAACAAGATATAGCTGTCTAATTTACAGAATGTACCATTTTAGTCTCAATTTTCAAGCTCTTCTGTAGGAAAAAGGCAGTAGTAACATATTTCATTTTTTCCACCCATTTCAGAAATAATATTCACACATGAACTACTGGCATTCTGTTATCATCAGCATAAGAACATAAGAATTGCCATGTTGAGTCAGACCCATGGTTCATCCAGTTTTCTTTTCCAGAGAGCATCACCAAGGGCGGTGCTGTGGGCTGGCTTTGTTGGTCCTCTGTGTTGTCAAGCTTCACAGGATAGATAGGGATGTGCTGCCAAACACTTTAGTTTCTCTGATAATTTCTCCATAACTTTTGTAACGTTTTGAAGATGCCTATGTCTATAACCTTGTTTCCTGTTAAGGTTAAGTTATTCTGTAGGTGGAATAGCCACAGGTAAGGGTAATCCTCATTTTCTCTTTCCTTGGGCTTCAAGAGTTAACAGTGGTCCTCTGGTGTAATGTATGAAGTGAACAAATGTGCTTGCCCCACTAGGCAAGATAACAGTTTTATAGTCTTTGATTATGTTCCCTTTGGGTCTTTCATAAAGTTTAGTATATATATTTTTTAGCTGAACTGTAATTTTAGACCACACTGTACATTATTTTCCAGATGAGAAGAAATTGTGGTTTTCTGTAAGCGTGGAGATATTTTTCCAGTTTGCTTCCATACCAGTTTACTTTTTGTTATTAGTTGCACATAACATTAAGTTAATGCCTTTAACCAAAATTGCATTTTTCATCTTTATTTTTAGTCAAAATCATAGAGTACATTTTCCTGAAAGTTATTTGTTCATTTTTTTTTTGTTGCATTGTTATCTGGCATTTGTTCACCAGAATGAACTACATTCTTTGCCTATAAATAGCCTTTGAAAGATTCTGATGCAGATTCTTTACTACTTGAAAGAATTGGTAGCCATATGCAACTTGAAGATTTGGCTGAAACCACCTTGCATTTAATTTTTTCTTCTTCTTCTTCTTCTTTTTTTTTTTTTTTTAAGTAAAAATTGCCCTGGCTGGTTCGTCTCAGTAGATGGAGCTTTGGCCTGTGGGCTAGAGAGTCCCAAGTTTGATTCTGGTCAAGGGCACATGCCCAAGTTGTGGGCTCCATCCCCAGTAGAGGGCTTGCAAGAGGCAGCCTATCAATGATTCTCTCTCATCATTGATATTTCTCTCTCTCTACCTTCTTCTCTGAAACCAACCCTATATAATAAAAGCCTAATATGCTAAGTGTCCAGTCATCTGGTTGTCTGTTCAACCAATCAAAGAATAATATACTAATGATATGCTAAGGCCACTCAACCACTCCCTATGACATGCACTGACTACCAGGGGGCAGACAGTCAACCAGTCGCTATGATGTGTACTGACCACCATGGGGCAGATGCTCCGACTGGTAGGTTATCTTACTGCTGGGGTCTGGCAGATCAAGACTGAGTGAGAAGGACCAGACACGCCCTGTAGCCCTCCTGCATTCTCTTCCTGACTGGCCAGCCTCTTACATCCCTTCCCAGTCCCGATTGTGCACTGGTGGGGTCCCTCAGCCTGGCCTGCACCCTCTCGCAATCTGGGACCCCTTGAGGATGTCGGAGAGCTGGTTTCAGCCCGATTCCACAGGCCAGGCCGAGGGACCCCATTGGTAAACGAATTGATGCACTGAGCCTCTAATAAAAATATATATATTTTTTTAAAGTAAAAATTAACTCAGCTAACTTTGGTTATCTGAATGCTGTTCCACTCTCCTGGGTAGTTTACTTGACTCCTCTTCTTCCTTAAGCATTCTGAATGCCATTAATTATTAAGTAATAATAATTCTTTCACAATATCATTGATGTATTCAGAAATTTAAAATAACTTTGATATCTAGTCAATTCTAGTTTCCTTTGCTTGGGTTTTAGCATCCTCCGTTATCTATTCCCACCATACCAAATTTATTTCCAGCAATTCCTCATCATGCATCTTCTGTTCCTATTAGCCTTAGCTTCTGAATTCCCTTTAGCATTCATCATCCTCATTTCTGTTTCTCTGTGCTTCAACTTTGTTACATAATTGTTCTGCAGGTAAGATACATGGCATGAAGCCAAAAGGTCATAAAGACAATTAAATTTAACGCCTTTCATTTATAGATGAGGTAAATAGGCCTAGAATGTTAAATTGATTAGCCTGTTATCTTGTATGTTTCTCTGATATGTGTTAATTTTGTACCTCAGATTGTTTGAAGCTTCTTGAGCTCAGGTACCACGTCCCTATATTTATTATATCCCCTAACCCAAGGGACAACGAAATCATGAAGTTTGAGATTAAAGCTATAGTTGATTGTCTTTTTATGGATTTTTTAACACAGACTTTGAGCCTTTCCACTGTTTTCTTGTCCACATTTTTATCCACATTCTTTGTCCTGCTCACAAATTTCTAAAACATTTGACTGAATATTTCCATTATACTTATTCTAAGGGAATTGTAAAATATGTATTTTTGTTTTTATTAAGATACTACGCTGTGTCATGTACAACTTAGGCACCAAAAGTGCAGTGGTAAACAAAACAGACTAAAGTCTCTGCCTTCAGGAAGTTTTTCCAGAGCTGGTGTTGCAGACTTTTCCTATATGTGTTTTATACTGCAACCCTATGTGGTAGATAGGTCATGTATGATTACATGCCTTTTCAGATAAGAGCACTATACCTCAGAGAGAGAGTAATCCAGGTCTAACTAAGACCAATGTCATATACACAACTACCTCCCATGCCATAACATTCAGGAATGACTTGGGAAGAAGTAAACTCGCATTTAATGACATAGTGGCAGATAAAGCCAATAGATAAGCCCAGAAATTTAGTGAACTTATAGCTCATATCTAGCAGAAAGGTAAGATAGAAGGTATCCAGGAAGATTTAGGGAGGTGATTCATTGTTAGGACCTAATTTGTCTTTTAGATGTTGCCGTAGTTATCAAATAGACTTTAGGGGCTTTAAAATCCCATTGTGTTTGCTCAGGAACTCTTCTATACTCCTCCTGGTTGACATCATCCCTATCTCTTCATTTTTAGATCCTCTGGTTTTAGTTGGACCACTTGCCTACAATTTTAAAAGTCTTAAAACTGCCTATAGGTCTCTAAAATTAGCTAGTTTAAGGTTCTTGCTCATTTTTCCTACAAACTTGTAACCAAATTAAGCTTTCCATTTACACATTCAGATCCTGGTGTGACAGATAAGGTAGTAGAATTAATGTACTAGTAAGTGAAAATTAGGGTATATTTGTAAATAGAGCCTTCTCAATTTAACCTCACTTAATTTTAATTGTCAGTTTTTATACTATAAGAAAATAATTACTTTATTATTTTACTTAATTTTAAGGGATTACATGGATCGTCTTCTGGATGAAAGTGAAAGTGCTGCCTCCAGCCGAGCACCATCCCCTCCCCCAACTGCCTCAAACAGTAGTAACAGCCAGTCTGAGAAAGAAGATGGCACTATAAACAATAGTAATCAAAATGGTAAGCAACCAAAGAAACACTTCTGTTTCTTTCTGTAGCCTGGAATGTTCAGTTTTGGTTTCTATTAAACTTCAATGCAGAAGTTAAATTAATAATTGTAAACATCAGATGAAACATGATATCAGCATACATACATACATACTTACATACTAACAATACACAGAATACAAGTTAATTGGAAAGACTTCCCATTAATATCACTATAAAAAGTAAGTTTAATAAACTATACTGTCAACAGTGACCATTTCTTCTTAAGAAATTTATTCTTTTTGAGTAGCATCTATTTTCTTATCTGGTTAGGATGTCTGAATATAAATATTCTTGTTAATTTGATAGCTAAAAAGACACCAGCTTGAATATTTTTCTCTTTGATAGCGTAATAACCTTGAAGGATAGGAAAAGATCAAAAAGAAACATTTCTATTTCTATGTCCATGGAAAAAAAGAAGCAAAAGGCATACCAGTATGATTGAAGTTCAGATAATGTTCTTGTTTAAAATATATAGTGGACCAAAGATCATTGTGCTGATCAGTAACACCTAATCAGAGAACTATTTTGACTTCTAATTTAATAAAAATGATCTTCCAAGTAAGACAGTAGCTAGGCAGAAAGTAATAAGTCCCTCACTCCTCTTTAGAAAGAAACGGGTACATTAGAGTTAAGTTCTGCCTACTTACATTCCGATGTAGCAGCCTTACGGAGGGCCATTGCAGAGCTAACCTAAACTCGTGACAGAAACTAGAAGAGAAATGCTGAGAAAAATTTGACCCTTGTTCTAACCTTTGGTCTGACCCTGGCACTGCTGTAGTGAATATGCTGCACATGCTTATTTGATTATCCCTTTCTATTTCCTCACTACTTCCCTTCTAAGACCAGCCAAGCCAACAAAAAGTAGGGCCCAACAACCAATTTCCTGGTCCAAAAACTTTCATTCACATGACATCTAATGCTAGCACTTCCACCCTGAAATACAATAAAAAGCTGAAATCTGACCTTGGGACTAGAGGTAGAAACTCAGTTGGTACTACTTTTGTCTTCCAATTTGCTCATAATACCAAATAAATAATTTCCTTTTCTTGTTCTTTTTAAAGCATTTGATGAGAACATGCAGGTCAAGTAGGAGAGTTTCATGATTTTCCTATAAATTACTCAGTAGCCCAGAAGCCATTCACATTGAGTACCTAAAACTCAAATTCTCAGGTTTTTCAAGGAAAGGAAGGAAATTTCTAACCCAGTTTTATTTATTTGTAAGGGACTTTATTAGTGTCTTGAAACCTTACAGTTATTTTCTACCTAATCACAATATTACCAACTCTTTCAGCTTACTACAACAAAATCATGACGCATTCTCCCGTGATTCATGATTGGGTGTACTTGTGAGTTGGGGAAAATAGAATATTTACTTTGACCAAAATATAATATTTGAGTCTTATCCTTTATACTGAATATTTTAATTATCTTTAGTGGTACATTTTATATTTTTATATTAAGTATTCCCACAATTTCTACTTCTTATTGCAGATAATGTGAACATGACCTTTTTACTATTAACTTGCTTTCATTAGAATAATTGTGTTCTTTTCTCACCTATTATGGAGGAATTTATTGACTTTTAGCATTTTCAAGTGTATGCTTAGACAATGAAAGTATTAATTTTCAACATGACAGACTACAGGAGTATCTAAAGATTTACATTAAAATTTAAAAAGTCACATCATCGTAATTTTATGTGGCAGTATAAAGCTCAAGCTTCTAATATATGCCAAACTCTGTTCTTAATTCTTTATACTTAATAACTTATTAATCTTCTCAGCTGTGCATCATAGTTATCCTCATTGATATGTGATAAAACTGATGTTCAGAGAATATAAATAACTTGCCTAAGGTCATACTGCTAGTAGGCAAATAAACATAGTCCAAATTCAGACCATAACGCAGATTTGATACCTCACTTCCTTGATGAAAAGCAATCTTATAACAGTTTAATATTAGCAGTTTGTTTCTTCCAACTTAGGGGTGTCATCTAATGGACCAGGTGAATTATTAAACAAAGAAGAAGTAAAAGTTGAAGGGTTACACGTTAATGGACCAACAGGTGGAAATAAGAAACCACTTCATGCAGATATGGATAGTAATGGTTATGAAACAGATAATCTTACCACTGACCCAAAGCTTGCCCATATTGATGAAAAAAGTGAGAGACCTGCCAAAAGGCGAAGGGTAAACAGCAATGGAAAAGAAAGTCCAGGTTCTTCTGAATTTTTCCAAGAAACAATCTCACATGGGAAATTTGAAGAACTTGAAAACACAGATGACTGAATTTTAGACTTATTTTACTTTCTTTGGAGTAAATCCTGGTGTGATTAAAATTTTCAGGGTTGATGGGTTACCTTAAAAACTTGATTTTCTTAAATTGGTTAAAATTTGAAAACTGAATTGAGTCCTAACTTTAGTAAATATGATTTCATAATTCTGCCTTTTGCAGAACTTTTATTTTAAAACTATAAAAGACCCTTTAAGGATTTAACAAACAATTTAGTAAATTTGAAATAAAAATATATCTGTACCTTCTCATTGGATGTATTAATCCTAAAGTTTTACTCTAAGGTACTTTTTGCTTAATTTTTATGGCAGAGAAGAAAAAACAAATTTTCTGCTTATCACCAATATTTTTTAGTTTATTGAAATCTTTCAGACATTTTTCTCTATATACAAGTTGAGTATCGTTATTAAGGAAACCCTTATGAATCCTGAAAGTTATGCTAGCATGATTTTTTTATATATAGAAGTTTAAAAATAAACCAAGTCAGGTTTGTATATGTAAAATTGTTGACATCAATGATGTCTTTCCATATTCTTATCTGGGCTTAAGAAATACATTCTGTATTTTTCCAGATTCTTTGTAGCCTTTGAAAGATTTTTACAGTACATACGTCTTGACTGAGCTGTTCTTTCTTAATACAAAAGCTTGTATAATTTTCTTAACTTGTACAGTTGGTAAACTTTTATGAGAGGAATTGATATCTGAGTCTGTCAGCTTTCATTTTATTTTGCTATGGTTTTTCTAATGAATTTTTAAGTGTTTTGTGTAGTAACTGAGTCATGTTTCTTATTCAGGTGGTAAAAGCATTCATGAAGGATTGTGAAATTTTTTTTTTTTTTAATTTTTTACTTACGGACAAATAGTGTGATAATTCTCAAATTAAGCATGATACTTAGATTTTATAGTTTGTATTTGCTATAATTTTCAAAATTATTTTTGAAGCAAGACAAACATTTAATATTGGCTTAAATGCTTAAATGTATCATGCTGACCAGAATCCTGTTCAGTTATTTTTATATGCATTATGAAATTTTCCATTTTTGCATTAAATGAACTGGGGGAAAGGTCAAGTGATACTTAGATAATTGGCACACACAAAGAATTGGCAGACAGCAATTTTGATTTTTAAAAAGAAAAAGTGAAGTTAGAGAAAAGTTTTTAGACTTTTCCAGTTACAATCTAGTTTTTCAGATTCAACAGTATATTTCCAAAATGAAAATAAGTTATACTAAATAAATAAAATAAGTATAACTATTGTTCTGTGATTACAAATAGAATCATCCATTTGCATAGCCTTGCAAAAGTGCCATTTTATTTTTAGTGCAAAATTCTTGTTGAAAAATGTAGTTTTATACAGCTGATAGACCAACCTATATCCAAACTTTTATAAAAGATTGTTACCTATTGTTTTTATCACACAGGCATACCCCAAATGCTTCTACCAATTCATTTCCAGCCATCAGTTTAAGAGCTGATGCCTTTTTAAATAAATCTTCTATGATTTTGTTTTTAATGGCTAAGCTGTCCAATGCAATTGAGTAGAGGTTTACACTGAGACATTATGGTTTAGGCCTTACTCCATGAAGTATTACTATTAACATATGTTCAGACTGCTTCCCTCCACCAGTGTGAACAAGTCCCTCTACCCCAAACAGTGTTAAGAGCCACTCTACGACACTTGACTGGCTTCATATAATGTGCACTCACTGTTACATACAGAATCCCAGTAAATCCAGGTTTTGGGTGGAAGTGTTGAGAAGCATGAATTTTGTTTTGTTTTTGTTTTGCCTAGAACATTAATTTATCCAGAATGGCAGCTTTAACATATGGTCACAATCCATTTTCTAAATCAGATTTTATTCAAATGAATCCAAAGTATCCTAGCTCTTTGTCAAAGACTATAGAAATGTTTCGAACAAATAGTAATGTACTTTTAAAGTTGTTGTAATATTTGAGATACCATTTTCACCTTTTATAAAAGATGCATTTTGTTTGCAGGTGTGTGAAATTGTTGAATACAGCACATGTATACATGTTAGGAAATCTTTTCTTCATCTTTCTTTTTAAAGTATGCCTAATGAAAGACATTCCACTATAATAATACATAATGCTCAGCTCCTCATAAAGGAATATTTAATTATATTTTGTGTTTATATAGGCATTTCACACAGTACTTAGTTATAAGTCATTGCACTATGAAATTTGTAGTAATATCATGAATCTAATTTGCTTAATATTTACTACATTTCATAACTCTTGAACTCCTGACAAATTGCATTGGGAAAAGAAGCCTTTGTTAATAGCTGCTTAGTCTCTCTGACCTCCAGCAAAGCACTGTCGATTTCATTTGGAATGGTTTTCTGTTCTATGATGTGTCTTCAGCTAGAGTTCAGAATCTGCAACTCAGTTCAACATAAGTCTGTTGAGCTTTAAAATGTATTTGAAATAATATTTAAATAGGCATTTAAAATTATGAGTTGGATGTTTTTAAATTTATGCATAGTAATTTTGCACTGTAAAATAATTCCCTTCTCCCATTCCCTGTCTGCCATTCTGAATATGCTTATTAAAATATTTTTTTAAACATATTTGCATATTTAATGTTGTGTGAATGATTTTCATTACATTGATTTACTAGAATTATAGGTTTTAATTTTCTATGATGCACATTGTTTACAAAACACATACAATCTGTTGCTCCTGCTCCTAAACATATTCCACGAAGTAGTGTTTCAGTGGCTCCAGTTTCTTCTACCTCATCTTGGATGATGTATTTTTGTCCTTTTTTTCTCTTCAGAGATATCCTTTGGGCTATGGACTGCTAGTTACCCGTTTCTCTTCTGAACTATATAGTTAAAGTTACAGCTGTCATAGCAAAATACAATATCACATATTTTGCAAAAACTTCTGTCACCATATTGCTCTGCTCTTAATGGGAAATTAAGAGTGGGCACGTGAGCCCTAGCCGGTTTGCTCAGTGGATAGAGCATCAACCTGCGAGATTAAAGGTCCCGAGTACAATTCTGGTCAAGGGCACATGCTTGGATTGTGGGCTGGATCCCCAGTAGGGGGTGTGCAGGAGGCAGCCAATCAGTGATTTTCTCTCATTGATGTTTTTCTCTCCCTCTCTCTTACTCTCTGAAATCAATAAAAAATATTTTTTTTAAAAAAACTGGGCACTTTGAATAAATAAGTGTTTCTGAATTTCCATACTTAAGATGTATGCTGATGACAATGGGCTGTGTAACAGGCTCTGTATCACTATTAAATGCCAAATCAAAAATGAAGATTATCCCAACTATAATCTACATTCATGAAAAAAGCCACTGTGGAAAATCATATAACAACATTATGGGAAGGAAAAAAAGGAATTTCCAAATTTTAGTCTGTTAATTCTGTCTCCCTAAAAATGATGTTTCTGTATCACATAATTCTGATTATTTAAAATTTTTGTAATAAAATCAACACTGTTCTTTAATCAATTTTATCCTTTGCAAAATCTTAAAAGGGTCATCCCTCCAAGTTGTAGGCTGATTTTATGTATTTAATTACTTGGTTAGAATATCTTCTAATACCAATTTTCTGTTCTTTATTATGTGCTGGTGTTTTTTTACATCTCTGTGTGTATGGAGATTTTTTGAACTAGGATATCATAGCTCCTATGACTTATGTAGTGTGTATATTATGCCATTTTGCTTTAAGTGTAACTAATCCTCTTGTCCAAATTGATGCTAAAGGCAAGAAGGCATGAGCAGGTGAGTACTGTGGTAGAAGGCTGAGTACCGAGGGCAAATGGAGAGGACAGATCTCGGGGAGTCCACCAGACCTGTGGTGGCCAACCTTTCAGACCTTCCGGACCACCAGTGCACAGACCATATAATTCTAGCTAAGTTAGGTTTTCCTCCAACTTAACATGTTAGAATATAACCCAATATGAAACAAATGAACAATTCCCACTAAGAAAGACAACTTATTTTTAACATATACATTATTACTCAGGACTTGCCCCTTTCTCTTATCATTTACTCTCTTGATTTCCTAAAATTTGGAAGAGTGATGCTGACCCTCGGTTTTTTTTGTTTGTTTGTTTTTTGTGGCTCCAAGAATTTTGAAACTCTTTTTTTCCCTTCAAAAGGTGTCTGGTTAAATTAGGAAAACAGCATCTCCTATTGCTTTTGTGTAACTCTACAACATTGCACCTTTCCTTAAGATCTGTTGATTTGGGGGGGTTGGGTTTGAGAAGAAACACTTAATATGGATGTCACTCATGATATTGCTGGCTTGAATCACCCCCTGGGCTCCACAAAGGGCCTAGGTCAACTTTTGTGGCTTGAGGTGCCAGCAGTAGTACAGTCTTCTGTCTTCTTTAGTTGAATTTGAGTAGATGAAGTTTGCTGTTGCAAGTCATCATCTAGAGTTAAACTTCAGAAGTGTTTATGAACCAGCGTCATTTTCAATAAAGACGTGTTGACAAGATATATCCGATAGGCCAACGGGGAAAGCAGTGGACTTAGATGTTTGGAGTCATGTTAATGTTTACCAATACTTCTAAATATTCCTTTTAGAACATAGAGTTAAATTCCCACAGTACCTGGCCTTGCGTTTCCTTATCTCGGGCTATTCCTTAGATCAGTGTTTCCCAAACTTCTCTCATGATGAGAATCACCTGGTGGAGTTGTTAAAATACAGATTCCTGAATCCCAACTAAGAAGTGCTAAACTAGAATTTTTGGGAACATATAGATAAAATTGTATAAACTAGAGCGCTAGTTAAGTATATGATTTTACCTATATGTTCCCAAAAATTCTAGTTTAGCACTTCTTAGTTGGGATTCAGGAATCTATTTTAACAACTCCACCAGGTGATTCTCATCATGAGAGAAGTTTGGGAAACACTGCCCTAGACCATACTTGCATTTCAACCGCGAGGTAGTCTAAAAATATGTCCTTGATTCAGAATCCTCTTGCTCAAAACACACATAGGCTTTAATATCATG